AAAAAGAAAGTAAGTACAAATCTTGTAATCCTGAATTTGGGTTGGGAATACTAGTATAAATGCATGATGTATTTTCTGTTTATGGGGTGCCTGAGTGGCTCAGTTGGCTGAGTGTCCAACTCTTGATTTTGGCTCAGGTCATGATCCCAGGGTCATGTGATTGAGCCCCATGTTGGTCTCCATGCTGAGTATGGAGCCTGCTTAGGATTCTCTCTGTCTCTCTCTCTCTCTCTCTCTCTCTCTCTCTCTCTCTCTCTCTGCCCCTCTCCCACACCTGCATATTCTCTAAAAATAATAATAAATAATTAATTAATGTTAAAAAAATTGTTTCCTGGCTTTTTCCCCCTGAAAACACCTGGGAAAAATGACTAACCATAGTGACATGAGCGACCCAGCCACCCAGATGGTGGTCTCTAAATACCATTTCCAATAACCAGGACTCCTTGGAAAATGACTGACTTCAGATGGAGGCAAGAAATATATAGGACAAACCTGGGAACATCTTCACATACTAGAAAGCAAGGACATTTTCTTTCCTTGATTACTGGAGTGTGTTAGAAGGATTCAGGAGCCAAGATGAAAAGGCCGAAGAGAGAAAAAGAGAAGAGGAAACCTATGGATTAGAAAGAGACTAGAGATTAACCCAATTCAGTGTGTGGACCATGCTTTCATTCTGATCTAAATAAACAACTATTAAAATAACAACAAACATTAATTAAGGAGAAATCTGAAACTGATGATTTGTTGCTATTAAGAAATTCTAGGGGCTTGCATGAAATGGTTGGTCCACTTCAGCTGGTAGGCTTCCCACGCATCTCATGTCCGGTGAGTTCGGTGCCCGCCGGGTTTCAGCTGATGGCCGAGCCTGGAGCTCAGCCGATTCTTGTGTCTCCTTCTCTCTCCTGCCCCCTCCCCTGTTCATGCTCTGTCTCTCTCTGTCCCAAAAATAAATAAACGTTGAAAAAAAAAAAAAAAGAAATTCTAGTGTTTTAGGTGTGATAATGGCTTTAAGAAGAGTTGTTTAGGTGTGGTTATGTTTGGGTTATTTTAATGTCTATTTTTGAGAGAGAGAGAGAGAGCACGCGCGCATGAGCAGGGAAGGGGCAAAGAGAGAGGGAGACACAGAATCTGAAGCAAGCTCCAGGCTCTGAGCTGTCAGCACAGAGCCCAACACAGGGCTTGAACCCATGAACCATGAAATCATGACCTGAGCTGAAGTCGGACACTTAACTGACTGAGCCACCCACAGGATGCCCCTGTGGTTAAGTTTTTAAAGATGTCCTTATCTTCTAGAAATTAATGCTAAGGTATTTTATGGATTAAATGGTATAATTTCTGAGAGTTTCCAAAATAACACACAGAGAGAGTAGATGGGGTAGAAGGGAAACAAAATTGATCATGACTGATAATTGCCGCATCTGAGTAATAGGTCCGTGGGGGTTCACTGTTTTGTTTCTCAACTTGTGTGCATGTTTGAAATTTCCCATAATAAAAAGTTTTTTAAATATATCCAGAGCAGGAAAAAAGACTACCCTTTGCACAAAGGTGCACCCAAGTAGCAGAAGGAAATGTTAGAGGAGTCTGGCTTGATCCGTCAAGGAATAAAGAGGGTCTACAAAATAAGCGCCTAAAACAGAAAGACCCAATAAAAGAACAAGGTGAGATGGACAATGTTTAAAAACCAGAAATAAATAGGTTATTTAGTTATTTAGTTATTTATTTTTAGAAAGAGAACGCAAGCAAGTGCACAAGCAGGGGAGGGGCAGAGAGAGAAGGAGAGAGAATCCCAAGCAGGTTCTGCATTGTCGGCACAGAGCCCAATGCAAGGGCTTGAACCCATGAACCGTGAGATCGTGACCTGAGCCGAAATCAAGACTCAGCCGCTTAACCAGCTGAGCTATGCAAGCACCCGTAGAGGCAAAGATTTTTAAAAAACACTTACCAGACCCATTTAATGCTTTTTGCCAGGATCTCTCTCGTGAATTTTTTTTGTTCATTACTTACTTAGCTCTAGTTGCTGTAACAAACTACTGTAAATTGGGTGGCTTCTCAACAGCAATGTATTTCTCACAGTTCTGGAGGCTGGCAGTCAGAGAGAGCATGGTGCCAGCAAGGTCGAGTTCTGGTGAGAGGCATCTTAGGGTTCATATGGCTGACTTCTCCTTGTACCCTCCTATGGGGGAAAGAGAGCTAGTTAACTCTCTGGCCTCTTCTTATAAAGGCACTGATCCCACTCATAAAGCCTCTATTGTCATGCCCTAATTACCTCCCAAAGGCCCCCGCGTCCAAGTACCATCACACTGGGAATGAAATTTCAACATACAAACTTGAGGGAACACAGACATTCAGGCTAGAACACTAATGTTGCAACTTCTGCTTTTTTGGTCATATTTTCATTTGTGTATCCTGTACATTCAATTGTTGGGGGCCAACTTGTGTCAGGTGACCAGCAGCTTATTGTTTTTGTTGTTTGATCTAGCCTTTGTGTATTATGAGAATGTTGTGTCCATTTCCACAGCAATGTTTTCATTATTAGTGAAAAAGAGGTGCCTGTGTGGCTCAGTCGGTTAAGCATCCGACTTCAGCTCAAGTCATGATCTCACAGTTCTTGCATTCAAGCCCCACATCAGGCTCTGTGCTGACAGCTCAGAGCCTGGAGCCTGTTTCAGATTTGGTGTCTCCCTCTGTCTCTGCCCCTCCCCCTGCTTGCACTCTGTGTGTGTGTCTCTTTCTCAAAAATAAACAAACATTAAAAAAAATTTTTTTAATTGAAAAAAAGAAAGTGAAAAAAGTAGTCTACAGAATAGTTTAAGAAATAATATGGGAAAAGGAAAATCAGTACAGATATATACCATAAGGTTAGTTGCCTTTGTTTGTGTTTTAGGATTATGGGTTTTATTTATTTATTTGTTTGTTTCTTTATGTGTGTGCACCTGTCAGTATTTTCCCCATAATTAGCATATATTACAAGCTACAATGAAAATAAGTTTTTTTTTAAAGTAAAAATTAACAAAATGCGCTTTCTCAGGAAGAAAAGAGAGCAAAGGAAAAAATATGTTGAGAACATTGGTAAGACCTTAGAAGATTTTATTAGCATATGATGTCCAGTACATATTGGGAAGCAGATAAAGCCTGTCCAAGCCTGACTGAGAAACTTTGCAAAGACTTTGTTCCAGCTTTTTAAAAAAGTTTATTTATTTTGAGAGAGAGAGAGAGAGAACAAGCAGGGAAGGGGCAGAGAGAGAGAGAGAGAGAGAGAGAGAGAGAAAATCCCAAGCAGTGAGGAGGCCGACGCAGGGCTCAAACTCCCAAACCTGTGAGATCATGACCTGAGCTGAAACCAAGAGCCAGCCGCTTAACCAACTGAGTCACCCAGGCGCCCCTGCAAACATTTTATAAGCTCCTGACACAGGAGGAGAGGTTCTCGCTCCAGGCTTATCCAGGGACTTTGTTTCCTTCGCTGTTTCATATAGGCTGTGGCCAGGATCCTCGGTGCCTCTGGTGAAACATCAAATATGTTAATGTACTTGGATTTGATATACTGGGTATGAGAGACATACATGATCCTTGTACACAGAAGGGAAGTGTGCTGACTCAGAAGTCCAGAGGCAGGCTGTTCGGCAGGAATGGCCTGTCCGTGCTGTCGAGTGTTGACAACGTCTTTCCAGCCATGAGTAATGGGACAGGGAGCAGGATTGAAAGTTTTCTGCCTCTTTCAAGTTCACTTCAAAATCTGTAATAATATTAGACGTCCAAGTGATTACTGGTATTATTCCTCCTGGGTAGGCTGATTATAGTGGTCAGTGATGATGGAAGTGAGAAAGGTTTGCTTGAGTTGGAGTACGTTCAGAAGGCTACCTCCCAGGCTCAGAGGGCCTCTCCTCTAGTCTTCAGGTTTTCAGTGGCTGATTCAGACTGAGTTAGAAATACACAGACGGAGCCCAGGCCTAGGCCTCCACACATTCATTCTTGGCCAGCAAGGCCCCAAGCAGGCCCCACAGCGAGAATCAACACACAGTAGATGACCAGGTACTGGCCGTCTTCCAGGCTGCCAGGTGCCCTGAGAAAGGTCTTAGAGCCAGGGTGCTTGGTTCCACGTGAGGTTGTGTTGTCCAAGCATCCCCAAAGAGCTCGGTTTCTCCCGTAGCTTTTCCCTCTGTCCTCACTGCCTTCTGCATCCCTTCTGACTTTGCCCCACCACCCCCACCCCTGAAAGCCTGCACCATGGCCTGCCCACTCCTTGGGCTTTCCCAAGAGAAGTGAAATGTTCTTTTCTCTTCTCAACTCAGCATCACCTCATCCTTCCTTCTCCCCCCGTTTCCCCCCCATCTTTCCTCCAGGCCCACATTACCACCCCCCTTGTGTTTAGTGTCCCTCCCTCACCTCCTGAGGAGCTTAGCCTTCCCTCCTGGTCTCTGCCAGCAGAGGTGCTCCGGCTCCTACCTGTCTGAGGCCTCCACTCAGCCCTGCCTCTCAGCCATGGGACGCTCCCATTTTCCAGACCAAACGTCTGTCTCCTGCGGCTCTTCTCCGTCTTCACTGTGAATTCTCCCTCCTCACCCTGGGTAGTCCACCTCCCAGAATTCTCTCCAAAACTCTTGTCTCCATGCACTGGCTGTCTTCGGGTATCTTTCTGCTCACGTGGCCAGTGTGTCATCTCCGTGTTCCCAGACCGCAGGAACAGCATGGGCTGCAGCGACTGGTGGGGTGCATGCCTGGGTCGCCTGCTAGAGAGCTTCTGGCGTGCTGCAGTTCCATCCAGGGCAAGTGGATCTTGCCTCTCCACCCCTATGGCTGGCCACATAGAGACTGCCCCTTCGAACTCAGGTTCCACTGGACAAGCTATGTCAGCAGCTACCCACTGACTGGGGGCAGGGAGGGTGTGCTGGAGTGTCAAGGTCCTCCCGGCAGATCCGTTGCCAAGACAGATGTACTGAAGAGCCAGTCCATACCCCAGCTTATTGCATTTGGGGATCCTCAACAGCCCTGTTGTATTCCAGGTTCTCCAAGCCAGCACCCATGTTCCTGGATGACTCTTTCCGCAAGTGGGCTAGGATTCGGGAATTTGTGCCGCCTTTTGGGATCAAAGGTCAAGGTACGTTGGGAACCCTGGCCCACTCTACATTAACATCTCATCCCTCAGCCTGTCTCCCTGCACTCAGGATAGGGCTGTACCCTCAGAAGTCCCCATGCTGGGGATCCACCCCTCTCCTTCCATTTTTCCCTTCCTTTCTTTTTCTTGCTTCACTCTTCGTTTACTCAGAGCCCACCACTTGGCCAGGGCCAGGTATACAACAGTGGAATGGACAGTACCATCCTTCTCCATAAAAAAGCTCCAGTCTGGTAGAGACACAGATACTAAGAGCGCAGGACAGTAATGGCTCTGAAGGGGGAAGAGATCACAGGAAAGGACGTCAGGGAGATCCATCCCGGAGGATCAGGTACAAGGGGGAAATCCCTGAGAAGACAGAGGCCATCCCCCAGGAAGTTGCCCAGGCTCCTCCATCATCCCCTCTTTACCCCGGTCTCCCTTTCAGTTCTTTCTTACCCTGTCCAAGGCTGACGTCCCCCCAATGCCCTCAGAACTGTCCCCTTCCATTGCCTTAGGGACTTTGCTCATGCAATTCCCTCCTGACTTTCCCACCTCTGACCGTTTAGTGGTTCTGATGCCTTGTCAAGTTCCTGTACTATTTCATGGCATGGTTGAGTTTGGGCTTTAGGATCAGACATTCAAGGATCAGATCTCAGTACTACTTCTTTATCAGCTGTGACTTTGGACAGGTTACTTCACCTGTCTGTGCTTTAATTTCTTCCTCAGTTAAATGGAGAAAATAATACTATTGTATTAGGTTGTGGTCAGAAGTAAATAAGATAACTGTTGAAGGGATGATATCATTTGGCCAGGGGACTTAAAAATACCTGAGTCCTCTACTCAGCCAGTCCACACCTTCCTGAAAAGAAGACAGTGACCAGCAGGAGGACACTCTAGAATGGGAGTATTGACCTCAGATCCCCAAGGGCAAATCTAATGGGTAGGGCTGAACCATGTGAAGAACTCCTTTTTGCTGGGTACAGGTAGCTAAGCAGCCTACTTTTCTCCCAAATCCTCACTCAAGACTCCAATCCTACAAAGCTATGAAGGCCTGGAAAGGCTGGTCCATAGCCCATCGGCCAGCAACAAGAGAGCACCTGCTAATTTATACCCTTTCTGCTAAGGTCCCCTCCTAGAAAACAAAAACCCAAGCCATACCTTGACCTTGGGCAATTAGTAGCAATATGCTTTTCCTTAGAGGTCAAATGGGAAGTGGGAAAAGGAGGGTGTCTGTGGCCTTCCCTGAAGCCCTCCATAAGGTACATCTGAAGGCACTTAGTATAGAACACTCCTTAAAGGTTCATTTCCTTACCCATTCTCCTTCACCTCCTGGGAAGATTAACTGTGCTCACTGCTTCTTTCTCACCCTTTACTCTGGAGCACTCTCTTCTCCTCCATCATTCCAGTGAAACTGCTCAGTGCCCCCAGGAAATCCAAAGGATACTGTTCAGTTCCTAACTTGACCTCTTGGCTGCATCTGACAGTGTTGTCCACCCCATCTTTTAAAAAAAAATTATGGAGTTGTTTTCTTTAAGTCAGGAGGCATCCTTTCTTTACATGGAATATTTCAGGCATATAGAAAAGAATAAAGGTGAATACATTGCAATGTGTACCCAGCTTAAGAAATAAAACAGGAGATACAATTAAAGCTCTGTGTATCCCTTCCCATTCCATTCTCCTCCTTCTCCAGGAGACCATTATCCTGGTTTGGGGGTTATCGTTTCAATGCCTCTTTATCTATTTTTGTGACATATTTATATATCCATTGAAAATCTGATATCGTTTTTGCATGTTTTTACACTTTACAAATAATACTCTGTGTGTGTGTGTGTGTGTGTGTGTGTGTGTTTCAAATTGACTTTTTTGCTTATGCTTTACAGGCATATCTGTATGAGTACCCAAAGCCAAAGGTCACTGGTTTATGTATTTTTACTGCTGGGTAGTATTCTGTGTACCATGTTTAATCTGTTTTCCTTTGTCGGGCTTTTCAGTTGCTTCCCACATTTTGCTATTACAAACAGTTCTGCAGTGAACCTTCTCGTACAGGTTTCCTTAAACAAATGAGCGAGTGTTCTGATGCTATCTACCTAGCAGGAGAGCTGCAAGATCTTAGTCTGTGCACATCTACATCTTTGCTTAATGTTATTAAGATGGTCTTCACCACGGTTGTACCGATTTACTTACTTTATCTTTAGATCTCTGTGCACATTATCTTTTTATCTTCCTAATGACTCTGCAGAGTAGGAATTACCATCTTCGTTTGAAAGATGGGGAACTAAAGCACACAGAAAGTAAGTGATTTATCTAAGGTCACGGAGCCCTGAAGTAGCACAAGCCAGGATTGGACTCCAAAGCCAGTATCATTATACAGTATATTATAATGTTCTCATTATGCTAGAGTTTGAAAGGAGAGCAATGACCATGGCCAAAGCCAGTGAGAGGCCAAGAAGAATGAGATCTGAATAGTGGTCACAGGATCTGAGAACACAGAGGTCCTGGGCCCTTGCTGGGGGCAGCCTGAGTGGAGTGCAGATGGGCAGATGTCAGGCCTCAGAGGTTGAAGAGGGAAGATAAGTAGGAAGAGACAGCCCGCCAAGACCAAGGTTGGAGATGGGCAGTACTGGGGGGAGAAGTGAGGGGAAGACCATATCAGAGGGTGAGGCAAAGGGGTCTGAGTCGGGAGCTGGCTGGGCACACTTGAGCTCTTCAGCGTTGGTGGTCTCCTCATTTGCTCTCTGGTGTCTGCTCAGTCAGGGCACAGAGGTGAGTCCAGCGTGTACTCTGTCTCTGAGCATGTCCTGGGCCTGGGGATGTCCTGGGACCTGACTGCAGAGCCTTTGAAAGCCAGAGGAGACTTCCCAGGAAGGGCTGGGGAGTCCTGAGGGGAGGAACTGCATGCCAGCGCTGGGGACCGGCTCCAGGCAGAGCTGAGTGTCCCTGCCTGTACCCCTGCCTCCATCTTGTTCATCAGGGAGAAAGCTAGGCCAGTGGCCCAGCCCAACCTTGTGCCCAGAGTCCCGTCTCCCCACCTTCCTATCCACCTCCAACCTACGCAGTAGCATGTGCTTCCAACGTCATTCACAAACACTTCATGGGGACGTCAGTGACCCTCTAACAATAACCTCCCTCCTCTGTCCACAGACAATCTGATCAAAGCCATCCTGTCAGTCACCAAAGAGTACCGCCTGACCCCTGCCTTGGACAGGTGAGCCACTTGCTACCCAGCGTCCTGCCCTCAGTTGCCTGGCATGTGCAGAGGTGTTGAGGTCCAGCCAGACTTCCCTGGGTATCGTGTCCTCACATGCAGGCACAGCACATGTGCTGGGGGTGGTGAGCAGATAAGCGAGGCCCTCCAGCGGGCCTGCACCCCATGGACTGAAAGCACTTGGCAAGATATTTCAGTCCTCAGCCATCAGAGGTCTGAGGGCCTGGGTGGCGGTGGTAGCGGAAGATGCCATGGCTTAAATGCAGGGGGCGGTGACAGTGCTGAAGCCAGTGGGCCCTGGGTGAGGGAAGCCCCAGGTGGGGGAAGCAAAATGCATAGGGCTCTCTGGTGGCTACTGGAAGCATGGGGGCTTCTGAGTTGAAAATAAGCCCAGCCATGGGTCCTGGTGCCCCCAGGCCTGTCCTCTCTGCTTGCTTTTCTGGCACAGCCTTCAAACTCAGCACACTTTGCCCTCTCTCCTGAACTCCACTAACCCTTGGGGAATCTTTAGCCTAGAAGGCCATCTTACCAGAGGCTCCTTCCTCACCACCCCAGAACTAGTGCCCTTGCCCCTTCCACACCCACGCTTTCCTGGAGAGTATCTGGGACTAGGTATGTCAGAGAGTCGCGAGTGACCTAACTACCCACAGTATGCCTTTGGCCTCAGAATGCTGCCAGAAGCCCATTGCTCTTCCCCCATTCCAGCCTGCACACGGCCAAAAGCATGGGGCTAAGGGCCAAAGGGGTAGGGAGAAGGAGACCTAGCGGACAGCTCTTCAGAGATCTCTGCCTCTCTCCCCTCAGCCTCAGCTGTCGCCGCTGCATCATCGTGGGCAATGGAGGTGTCCTTGCCAACAAGTCTCTGGGGTCACGCATTGATGACTATGACATTGTGGTCAGGTGAGCTCCCCAAAGCAGTGCCTCAGGCACCTGAGTGTCCTGGCCCAAACCCTGGTCCCTGAGTCCATTGAGAACCATCTGGCCATCTGGCCAGTTGGGCTAAGGTCAGCAGAAGCCTCAAGAAGGACCCTGGCTTGAAGGGCTCCAAAAGCTAGGTGACTCCAGGTGACCTGGCTCCCCATTCTCTGCCCCTGGGGAATTCCGGGGTCATAGTACCTCCCAAACACAAGCCCACAGACTACATGCAGTGAGCTCAAGGCAGGCTCTGACTGGGCCTGCTCTCTGTAGACTGAACTCAGCACCCGTGAAAGGCTTTGAAAAGGACGTGGGCAGCAAAACTACACTGCGCATCACCTACCCTGAGGGCGCCATGCAGCGGCCCGAACAATACGAACGTGATTCTCTCTTTGTCCTCGCTGGCTTCAAGTGGCAGGACTTCAAGTGGTTGAAGTACATTGTCTACAAGGAGAGAGTGGTAAGCTCCCATACGCCAGCTCCTTCCCCTTTTGCCCTGGCCTTGCCTGGCTTCCAGGTCAGCCTGTGAGTTCTTTCTCAGCCAGACTCAGAGTCCCTCTCCAGCATTCCCTGCAGGCCCTTCCCTGGCCTTAGGACCCCCTGGAAGGAACGCTTTTTTCTGGCTAGCCCCAGCATCACTCCTAATATTCATCCTCTCCTGCCCTGCCCTGCCCTTGTAGTGGCCTCCCCAAGCCCCCTCACACTCTGACTCTCATGTGGATCCACCCTCATTCCCAGCCAAGGGAGGAAGGCCTTATTTGGACCCTGGGGCCATTCTGCAGGGACAGCAGACCCCTCAGGGAGCTTGAGGGTGCCAGTTCCCAAGCCCATAAGTCCCACCTCTCTCTGCTTTGTACTTGTACCGCTGACCTGCAGTTAGATC